AACACTTTGGATCGTCTGGGTTGCGTACCCTTTGCCTGGCCTATAAAGATTTAAATCCTGAAGTCTATGATAGTTGGAATGAAAAATTCATCCACGCCAAGTCTGCTTTACGAGATCGTGAGAAGAAGTTAGATGAGGTATACTGCTATTTCGTTTTTTTTCTTGCAACACTTATGGCAATGCTAAGATAGAAAATGGCTAGCAGCCGATATAAGAATTTGTTGATCTGGCTACTCATCATATAGCATTGAGAGTAATCCTTTGGTGTGTTTCTGAGTTGCCTAGTGATATCCTCTTTAATTTATAGCAGGAAAAATGTTGTAATCTTGGTCCATGCAGGTTGCAGAACTTATTGAGAAGGATCTTATCCTGATTGGATCAACTGCAATAGAAGACAAGCTTCAGGAAGGGGTACCTACCTGCATAGAGACCTTATCAAGAGCTGGGATTAAGATCTGGGTGCTAACAGGGGACAAGATGGAAACTGCAATTAATATCGCATATGGTAAATGCCACAAACTTTTTCTCTTCATCCTTTTCTTTCTTCCAGTTTAACTTTGTGCTCCTTGATTCTTTTAATGTTTCAGCTTGCAACTTGATCAACAATGAAATGAAACAGTTTATTATCAGTTCTGAAACTGATGCAATCAGGGAAGCTGAAGAAAGGGTAAGTCATACAGATGCCTCTTATATTTGTGTGTATGATTATCAATTTATCATTGACTACAGTCCTAATAGTTGAAAAAATATCTAAAACTAGGGTGATCAAGTTGAAATTGCGCGTGTTATTAAGGAAGAAGTAAAGAAGGAGCTGAAGAAGAGTCTTGAAGAAGCTCAACAATACATGCATACTGTAGCTGGACCAAAATTGGCTCTCGTTATCGATGGGAAGTGTTTGATGTATGCATTAGACCCCATTTTACGTATAACTCTGCTCAGCTTGAGCTTGAACTGTACTTTGGTTGTGTGCTGTCGCGTTTCTCCTTTACAGAAAGCGCAGGTAATTTCAGATGACTTGTTTTATAAAAAAAATAGTTACATGGGTTCTGGTATGACAAACAAATGGTCCTGATTCTTCTCTGAAATAACGATTATATTATTGCTACTCTGGGGATTTTGTCGCGCAATAGATATAATTGGTGGAACATATGTTCGTACCTCTTTGTTCTTGTGTCCGACATCTGATAAATAATCAGTGACACTGATGTAAATTTTAGGTTACAAGCTTGGTGAGAAAAGGGGCTAAAAAAATAACACTGAGCATTGGTGATGGTGCCAACGATGTTAGCATGATTCAAGCCGCTCATGTTGGTGTAGGAATAAGTGGGATGGAGGGAATGCAAGCTGTGATGGCTAGTGATTTTGCCATTGCTCAGTTTAGATTTCTTACGGATTTGCTTCTTGTCCATGGACGCTGGTCATATCTTAGAATCTGCAAGGTTGGTTTTCTCCCTCACCTCAAACTTAGTTTTCAAATGTTGATGTTACTAGCAATGGTCTTCTTTTTTTTCCCCACAGGTGGTCATGTATTTCTTCTACAAGAATTTTACCTTCACTTTGACTCAGTTTTGGTTCACATTTCGAACCGGATTTTCGGGTCAAAGGTTCTATGATGATTGGTTCCAGTCATTATACAACGTTTTCTTTACTGCTCTTCCTGTGATTGTCCTTGGGCTGTTTGAGAAGGTAAAGAGTATTCTTAACTACTAATCATCAGGTGTACCTTAATTTTCTTTTTTTTCTTGAATTGATAGTTCGATACTGACTTGTGAATTTGCTAGGATGTGAGTGCATCCCTTTCAAAGAGATACCCTGAACTGTATAGAGAGGGAATACGTAATTCCTTTTTCAAATGGAGAGTTGTGGCAGTATGGGCTTCTTCTGCTGTGTATCAATCTTTGGTATGCTATCTCTTCGTAACCACCTCAGCTTTCGAGGGGAAAAATTCATCAGGCAAAACATTCGGTCTTTGGGATGTGAGCACAATGGTCTTCACCTGTCTCATAATAGCTGTGAACCTGCGGATTCTTTTGATGAGCAACTCGATTACTAGATGGCATTATATCACAGTTGGAGGAAGCATTTTGGCATGGCTCGTTTTTGCTTTTTTATACTGCGGGATTACGACACCACATGATAGAAATGTAAGCTTGGTTTCCTCCATTGGGTCAAAAATCCTTTTTCCCTTGTATTACATATGTTTTGCATTCTGATTTTAACTTTTTTGCTTTCTGTGTATGCAGGAGAATGTCTACTTTGTCATATATGTCCTAATGAGTACATTTTATTTCTACATCACATTGCTGCTTGTTCCTATTGTGGCTCTTCTGGCAGATTTCATCTACCAAGGGTAAATAAAACTTGAATGTGAACACTCTAAACTCGAGCGATATACTTGAAAGATTGTTGAATGTTTTGCGAATGAATGCAGGGTGGAGAGATGGTTCTTCCCATATGATTATCAGATAGTTCAAGAGATTCACAGGCACGAGGTGGATAGTAGCAATGCAGATCATCTGGAGATAGCAAACGAGCTCACACCAGAAGAGGCGAGAAGCTATGCGATATCCCAATTGCCTCGAGAAATCTCAAAGCACACTGGTTTTGCCTTTGATTCACCCGGTTATGAGTCGTTCTTTGCTTCACAATTGGGTATATATGCGCCACAGAAGGCGTGGGACGTGGCTAGGAGAGCCAGCATGAGATCACGACCCAAAGCACCAAAGAAGAATTGAAATTAGAAAACAGAAAAAATGGATATGAGTTGTGTTGTATATTTTAGGCTCACTTTTCCAGTGTCTGCACAATACTGGAAGTTTTGTTAGACTCTTCTGCGCTTGGAAGTTGGAGCTGAGATTTTTAGTGCATGAATGCGTGAATGAATTTAGACCTACTGTTCAAAAAGACCTTAGATTTCAACTAAAATCAGATAGATGGTTAACAAGAAACTTATAATTAAATAGAGAAAACATGTATATTGTAATCATATACAGCACAAAACTGGAAGACGCCAACTAAAGCATCTATATATGAACCAAAAATCTTAGACCAACATAAAATAAAGGAAACTTTGCTGTTTATAATAAGATAAACTAATGAAAGGAATTGGTACTTTCGGTTTGGTACTCTTGGCCGGTTTGATGTTCTTCTCATTGGTTCTGGTCCATAAAAAAAAACACAAAAATAAAAATTGTTCAAAACTGTTTTGATTTCCTTAATTAAAAGGCAACAACAGAACTTGACTCATCAACCTCTGCTCTGATTTCTCTTTGGAGATCTTCTTTGTACTCTTCAAAGGAGCCATCGAAGAAAGACACTGTTCCGTCTTCTACAAGCCAAATTTGACTATTCTCCTCTTCCTCACAGACACGGGAGATGAGTCTCGAGTCGTGACTCAGCAGCACAATTCCTCCTGTGAATTCATCTAGGGCATCGGCCAACGCATCTATACTCTGCATGTCTAAGTGATTTGTAGGCTCGTCTAAAAGCAAAATGTGTGGCTTCGACATTGATATCGACGTAAACACAACCCTAGCCTTTTGTCCTCCAGACAATTTCGCTATTGGAGATAAGTGGGTGTCACTTGATAGCCCAAACTTTCCAAGCTTCGCACGCACCGCTTCTTGCTTGCTAAATCCCTCTTGGTCTGGATGAAGACGAAGAAGATACTGCACCGGTGTTTCCCCCATTGTTAACAAATCAACAAAATGCTGAGAATACCTGCCAATCCTAAGCTTCTGACTTCTTCTCACTTCACCCTCTGTCGGATCTAAATCTCCCGCAAGAAGATTCAAAAGAGTGGATTTTCCAGCTCCGTTAGGCCCTACTATAGCCACCCGTGTACCCATATAGATACCTACATCAACATCTGAGAGCCTGAAATCTGGCCTGTTGGGGTAGGAGAAGCTCACCTCAATCAACTGCAACAGCGGAGGAGTAAGCTCGGTTGGTTGCGGAAAATGGATCGCCACGCTATAATCGCTGCACTTTCTAGGAGCTTCTGCTACTGTGTCCTCATCATCTATCTCTTTTACATTCTCCTGTTGAGCCATGTTTCCAGACTTCTTAGCTGCTTTAATCTGTTTCTTGAAAGTCACGTACTTTTTGTTCATCTCATTGCGACGCTGTATATATCTAGCATCGAAACTGTCGAAATTACCACGGTAGAAGTGGAGCTTCAGGTCATGCAAATGTATGATATCCGTGCAGACAGAGTTGAGGAAATCCCGGTCGTGTGAAACAACAACCAACGTCTTCTTCCAGCGACACAAGTACTCCTCTAACCATAAAACAGCTCTCAGGTCGAGATGGTTGGTAGGCTCATCTAACAACAAAAGAGTAGGTTGCACAAACAGAGCTCTAGCTAACGATATTCGCATCCTCCAGCCACCACTGAATGACTTAGTTGGCCGCACTTGCATATCTTTTGTGAATCCTAACCCCGCAAGAATCTTGGACGCCTGTGCTTCAGCAGCATCTGACCCCAAAATCTGTAGTCTCTCATACAATTCACCAAGCTTTTCTCCGCTTTCATCATCATTCTGGAGAGCTTCAGCCTCTTCCCGTAGCTTAACCAATTCTTCATTGGCAGAAACAACTGCATTCAGAGCACTCTTTTCGTCACCGACAACTTCTTGCTCAACAAGAAGAAGATCAATATTCTTCGGAACTGGAATCTTCCTCCACGCTAAAAGCTTTAACAGTGTCGACTTCCCCTTTCCATTCGGCCCAACCAGTCCATACCGTTTCCCATGTGATATCTTAAGAGAAGTATTACTCAGAAGCTCGTTCCCTCGAACAGATACAGAAAAGGACTCGATCGTTATATCTTTAACATTGGCATCCGCCGCCGCCGTGTCTTGTCCTTCAATCTTGCTTCCGATAACAACAGTGAACGCATCACGGTCGTCCCTTAAAGCCTCCCTCTTTGCATGCTCTGCAGCTTCTTTAGCTAATCTTTCTTTCGCCTCTAGCTTCTTTCGTTCCCTATCAGTCACAGAGATCTCAAGAAGCCTTTGTTCACTCTTGGCCTTTCTCCTGTCTGTCTGTTCCTCCTCATCGGAATCGCACTCATCGTCTTCTTCAGAAGGAGGAAGATCTATACCATCAGTATAAGAGGAAGCTTTTTTCGGAGCTCTAGATGATGAAGCTTTGAGATCCATACTTGCCATAGCTGAGACTGATAATTTCCCACTTGGCTTCGCCATCGTGGTCTTGTCGGACTTGTTCTTACCCATTTAAACACGAGAAATCAACCAATGAGCTATTAAGAATTCAGGACTTTTTTGTTCAATTACATATCAATCAACTACCAAACATACATAATCATAGTATTATTTAGCAAACTAATTTGAAATTCAGGACTGATTCAAAAATTAGGGTTTTCGTACGATAAACTCAATTGCAGCGATTCAAACCTAAAGGGAACAAACCAACCAAACAAATAGACTAATCAATCTTGACCTAAAATTACTTTGAGATTCGAGACAAACCTCGGAAGCAGAATAGGATTAAGGTTGAATATCGAAAAAGCACAAAAGAAAAGGGAGAAATTGATTGAGAGGTTAAGAAGAAGATCCAAACTCAGCCGCCGTTGATTGGTTTTGGAGTGAAGAACAAGGTACTCCCAAGGGCCAAGAAGAAGAATGGGCCAAAACCAAGCCCATCAGGAAAGTCCAAATCTTGTGTCATGGCGATGATTCTTTTACGGATGGGTTTAGTGAGTGAGAATCGAACGTTGCAGTTCCATTAGTATAAATTTTAGAGGCAGAAATTCAACTTGTGTTTGATCGAATGCTTCTGAGAGTAAGAATTAGAAAGCAAACGTGGAAAAACTTGTGGAAGCTCAGAGATTTGATACAAGAGGGTTTCTTAAGTCACTCAACACTGTCACTTACTTGCAAAGGAAACCAACTTCAGAGGCAAATCAGGATATTCAAGTGTTGGATCCTACTCACGAGATATTGATAGGAAATGGAAATACAAAGAAGCGAGCAGCAACATACGCAGAGAAAACCTGAGCTATTTGGACCAGGTTTACCTTTGACATTAAGTTTGGACAGTGTGGAAATTGATACGGACTGCGTAAACAGGGGAGGGTTTTCCTCATTGCCTCATGATCATTTAGTGTGTGTAAAGGCTCAGTGGCAATGGTTAGGAAGAGCTCACATTATAGGATAAAAGAGTGGATACACAAACTAGAACTAGATTTTAAATGGATTTGGTGGGTTACCGGAAGCAAAACGGAGCTGTTAGATGCGTGCCAAAAGATACAACCAAGGCTGATTTTATTGGACTGGGGTTTAAATGTAGGCTCTGGCAAAAGATATGAAATTAAGAGCTGTAGGTTTCTGAAACACGTCAGTTAGGCTGTTTGTTTTGCTTCAATCATCGAATGTGAATGTTGAGATTGAGAGTGAGATAGTTTTGTGTGTTGGCAACTACTTGTTTGTTGCTGTGTACAAGTAACACGAGGAGGAATACTATGAAACATCAAACTTTCGTGAAGCTGTTTTTATACCAACGATAACATGACATAATCTGGTATTATACATGAACTGAGAGTATTTACGTTAATTGGAAAAACCATAAATCTAACCAAATCCATAAGAAGATATTTATTCTATAATGATTTTGTAAACAAAGGGACAAATTCCAACCTGTCTTACCATCATCACCAGGGACCAAACAAGGAACAGAGGAAGATAAGGTTAGGAGTAAGCATAATGCAAGTTGTATGTCTGTCCAGTACGGCTTAGATAATAACAATTATATTTTATTAACTTCTTTATTAACGGCTTAGATAAGGGCAGAAAGTTTTCATAGAACAGTTATTGAACATGGCTTCTAACCAGACAAGTAGATGTAGCTATCATTTTTTCCTTAGTGTAATCCTATTGTATCATCTGATCTGCTAGACGAAGGATTATATTTGATCCGCTTTAACAAAAGTTTAGTGAAAAGAGAAACTAAACGATACTGTTTTTTTTTTTTTTCTAATGTAAATCCAAACAATAAAAAAGATGAAGACTAATTAGATATTGTCTAGCTTGACATACAAGCATTTTTTTAATGTAGATCCAAACAATTAAAAAAAAAGAAGGCTAATTAGATATTGTCTAGCTTGACATACAAGCAACTTAGGGTTCTACGATATTGTTCATTAAAGGCATTCAAGACACTTTCATTCTTTACGCTACATAGCTCAACAAACTCATCGTCGAAGGCCCCCTATTAGTTAAGATGATTCTCGATCAAAGACCTAGCTACATCCTTAACACTAGTATCAACATCATTCTCTTCCATGAGCCGCACCAGAAATTCATACCCACAACACTGTCTAACCTGCTCTTTGTAGGGCCAACCCTGATAGAGATCCTTGTCGGAGGATGTCGTCTAATGAAGACAAGGCACTTCAGACGGTTTGTACAGAGGGACCTAGAAGAACACCAACCAGCCTTTTAATGCAACCCACGTTCACGAGCGACATGATGTCCTCATCATTTCTCACGCAAGTGATACCATAAACAGCAGAGACAACAAATTGTCATGTGTCCCAATTACCATGTTTGAGCGTGCGAATAACAGATCTTTTAATGCCGGATGCAATTATTTCCTGCAGTTGAAAAATAAAACCAGTTCAAAAGTTTCCATGATTCTTAGGCAACCAGCAGACATGTGGGATATGAAAAGGAACCTACCTGATGAGTCTCCATTCCGTTCGTAATGAATTTAACAGCTCTGCAAATTTTCTCTTGGAGGATCGCTGAACATGTGGGATTCTCAAGTAAAGAAGAAAGAAGCACTTTTGGTATGTGATAAGCAACGGTTCCAAATGTTTGAACAGCCTGATTTCAGAAACAAATATATCAAAACTGTAAAAACCATTCCAAATATTTCTGTAAGTGAATAATAATAATATATATATATATCCAATATTGTTACCAAGAAAAGTTCTTCCGTGTTATCGGAATTGATAAGTTGCATGAAAACTGGGAGAGCTGCACAGTCAATGAAGGCTTGAATGTGGTATGCTGGTACAACGAAATTACCAAGAACAGTAGCTGCTTGAAACTT